CATAGAAAGATCAGGGGCCTATCTGGGTGGTACATGACAGTAATCCCTTCCTTTCAGGCTGTAAAGATTTTTTTTAATTGACTGTATGGTAAGTACACTTACAGAAGATAGAAACAGAGTTCTTGAATGATTAAGAAATCAATAAATTATATTATTATTAAGTTTTAAATTAAACTTCTGGGAGATGCTCGAAACACACAAAGTATATTACCTTACACACACACATACACACATGCACACATGCACACATGCACACAGAAGCAGAAATTAAGGCACAACTCTAAGTAAAGTGAGTAACAAGCACAGAGCTGTCCCCTGATGCTGCTCTTCCAGAATCAGTAAATGGATCCTCAAGGACCTGGGGAAATGATCAACTAATTTTCAGCAGGTTCTGCTTATAATTCTACATCCTCAGTGGAGAAGCTTAAGTGTCCTCTTTATCATTGCTATCATATCTTTCTCTTTTCTGGTTATTGTCAAAAATTTAGAAAACCTGTCTTACTCTAAGAAAGTAAGAATAAAAAGGCAAACTTCTAAGATACTTCATCTTGGATTCCCTTTTCTAATACAGGTAATAAGATAATATAGGCTTAGGATAATATACTTGTAATAATATATGTGTAGAATCTAATAGCCTCCACAGCTTTCCGAATTTCTGACATAAAACCAATGTTCCTTATGTTCCTTCTGGTCAGGAGCCTGGTCAAGATATTGCCATATTCCTTTAAATTGGCATAATTATGCTTATATGATAGCTAAGGACACTGACAATATTAGTTTCTTATGGCTAGTAAAGAAAATGCTTAGCTCCAAATTCAGGGGATTTTGCTACTAAACACAACTTTGTAGTGTTTGTTAAAATATGGACAATTATCCCTTTTAAACATCTTCTTTACAAATAGCTATTCAGCATTATAGACATGATGTCTCCTTACTGTATCTGCACAGATGAACAAGATAACAGAATTATTCTGTGACATGACTCTGGACTGTCTGCAGAGACAATAAACTTTTGTAAAAAGACTCTGAAGCAAAATTAAAATATTCATGCAATGCCTTTCCTTTACATTGTGTGACAGCCTGCCTCATTCATACAGACTTTACAAGTTTTCCATGGTTGACTAATTAACAAGGAAATAAATCCCCCAAAGAGATAACTAATATTCCAAATACCCTGGGTTCTTAAGCATGATGTCATATCTATGCTCACAGGACCTACAGTTGGTGGAAGCTGAGTCTGCTAGACTTCTGGAAAGAGTGAAGGAGCATCTGTGTGTATATCTCTGTATGTCTCTATATGAGACAATGTGTGTGTGTGTGTGTGTGTGTGTGTGTGTGTTGCTAAGGGTGCAGATCAATGCCTTCCATAAGCTAAGCAAGTACCCTCCACCAAGCTAATTTTCCCCAATCCTAGGATTTTTGTTGTTATTTTTGTTTAATAAATGAGGCATATATTTGATTACTCCAGCTCAGATCTGTGGTGAGTAAACATCTTCTGCACAGAAAAGCTAAGCATCACAGGGTGAGTAACAGTGCAGTCTTGCTGAGTATGTTACTCTGTACAAAGTCAGAGTTGGCTAACCCAAAATTATTTTCACATCCCATTTCTAAGGAAGCTCTATGAGAACTCTATGAGAACAGTCTTATTCTAAAAAAGAATGATTTTATTCAAACGTCTAACATGCTTGAGTTTGGGGGTTTTAAATAATATGATGCTATTTAGAAAAATGAAATATAGAAAGGCAAGCACATAAGTAAGGATGTTTCTGAAGAAACTTGAGTGGAAGAGTAAGAATGTAAGTTTAGGAAATGACAACAGGGTAGAGCATGGGAGAAGTGCATGGTTTCTGTTTTCACAATTAAAACAGCAGTGCATTGATAGATTTGCTATGAGAGTCAACATAGATAAAGACATGTAACATTAAAATAAGCATGGAAATGAGTTCTTGACAATTAAGCTATTCAATGAAATACTGGAAATATTTTTAAATTGTTAACATAGCAGTTCTTCAAACTACAGCTTTATAGAATATGCTGCAAAGTACCTTGAATAAATATCCAATCATTTGGCTTTCAAAGTATTGAATGATTTGTCTCCGACTTGATGTTAAACCTTTAAGGTTAAGAAGATCTTTGCTTTAACCTTATGAAATGTAGAGTCGGGAAGTTCTCTTCATATATTAGAGCAAGTTTCCCCTTGAATCAGTTTCCATTCATTAGCATTAGGAGATCTCCAACAAGAGGTTGAGTATGGTTAGAAGATTTCTTCAGAAATGGGTACAGTTTTAATATTTTTCATCCTGCATGAGAAAAGTATAATATAATATACATTAGAATTTTATACTTGTTTTAAAATTTACTTTCAAAGGCAATAAATCTTTCTAGTTGAAGTATTATCTCAGTCTCTAGTTATAGGACCAAAAAATCTGAGTGGAAAAGATATTTAGGAAATATAGCCTTATGACATGAGGAACAGAGTCTGTTCTTAAGACAAGAGAGGCACTAAAATGATTAAGGTCATAAATTAGTACATAATATTGGGAAATTTTCTTAGCTTCATGAGCCTACTGTCACTGAAGTCAGAAAAAAAAATCTGAAAGTAGATAAGAATCAGAAAGAATCTTTTTATGGTTAAAAATAAGCATTTTTTTATTTTTAAAACAAATTAAAAGATTATTATTTCGTCAGAAGATTTGCTACTTTTAATGAGAATTTTGGAAAGAAAACAGTAACAAAGAACACTATTAACTGGCTCTCTAAATACAAATGAAAGTACATTAGATCAATCATTTGCAAATACAATAATTAACAGCTTAAAGCTCTAAAAACCTTACTGCAGGCAGAGTGCTGAGGATCCCCTGCAGATAAGGTACTCAGCAAATGTACACGACAGGATTGGAGCCCTGGAAACCAATGTTTCTGTATTCATATAGATGGGAATAGAAGAGTTGGACTAAGTAAAGATAGCATACAGTAATCTAGATAAGGCAGGCAGCACTGGGCCAGCAGGAACAATTGTAGGAGAAGATGCAGAGGTAGTCATTCTTTTAAATAACAGCATGGAACAAAGACTCAGAGAGAATCTTTTATACAAAATTTATGAGTTCCAAAGTATTAAAGAGTCTACTAATCCCATTTTTAAAAAATTACATTGACTTGCTTCTCTTCTGATAGTCTGCCTTTCATCTGATGACTTACTGTTTTGAATTTTTCATATAGATTGTTGTCAGACTTCTTGAATAATTATTACAGCATTAAAAAGAAAACTTAAAATTGATTGATACTAAATGGCAGACAATAAGAAGAATATTTTTCACATTCCGTATGTATGTCCTATTTACAAAGGTTTTTAAAGCCCCAGTGTTAGGGAGTACTAGATCTCTGAGATGGGAATGGGTGGGCAGGTGACAAAGTATCCTCATAGATGCAAAGGGGAAGAGATGGAGGATTTGCAGAGGGGAGAAGGGGAAAGGGGACAACATTTGAAATGTAAATAAATAAAATCAATAAAAAACAGAAAGCAAAAACAAGTTGAATATCTAAGTGTAGTATTATTAATCATACATAGAGTAATTTAATTTAGAAAAACATAAAACCATTTTGTGGAAATATAACTGTTCATAGTTATTCTAGTTTGAGGTATTCCCAAGCACTGTTTGGAGTAGAAAGAAGGAGAAAAAAGAAGAAGAGGAAGAGAAAAGAAGAAAGTAAGTACCCTTTGCAAGTTTCTTTACAAGGGTACTTACTTTAATATTGTACCAGCAATTGCAGAATCCATCTTTCATGTAACTGGATTGGAAGCCAGAATTTTGAAGATTATATACATAACATAAACAGTCAAATACATATATTAGAAAATATAATTGTTGATTCTATACTTCAGCTAGATCTACTCTTGATGCTTGGAAAAATGCTTTAACAGAAGTAAAATACAACTATTAATCTAAATTAATTAATTAATCTAAATGTCTCTCTACCAAAACTGACATGTTGCATATCCGATAACATGAATAAATAATATCAGAAAAATATTTCTCCTAAAATCTCTGCTCTACTGCTTTACCTCAGTCACCTGTGAGCTATGTTCTCTCTCTCTCTCTCTCTCTCTCTCTCTCTCTCTCTCTGTCTCATTGATTCATCTTATGATTTCTTGTTGGAAGGTTTCTACAAGCAAAATGTAGATGATTCCTGATTCCTAATGACTTAGAAACAAATAACTTCTCAAGGAAACTGATAAACCCATGACAAAGTTTCATTAGAAATCTGTAAGAGAGACCCATTCAATATGACAAAGATAGGAAGGAAGGTTGTTAAAATACAACTTCTATCATTGCTCAGGATGGAGTAAAGCCATTAACAGAATTCACATATGCCAATGAGAGTGATAAAATACCAGTTCAGTGAGGAATACTACATAGATAAATGATAAAAGAGTCATTGATCCTGGAAATAAACCAAAATATTCATCCACAATCAAACAATAAAAGAATGAAAAAAGGTTTTTTATTTCTGTAAGATATACATAGAGCCATAAAAATATCATAGTTACTACTGAACAAAAGATATCACCCGAAATACCAACAGGAGACTTTCATTTGTGGAAAATACAAAAACAGAAAAAAACAAGAAAGATTGTTAAGGAGTATATACCAGGTTTGAAGTGACATGAAGTTATAAGGAAAGACAAAGCAATTGTCATAAATAACAATGAGTGATGAGACAACAGGTTGGGGTAGTGTAGGTACTAAGAACGGTGTTCTCATGGTTTAGTAAACTATACACTTACATATTATACACAGTGTTACTCCCTGCACAAAAAGAAAATGTCTATGTCTTTGTGTTGATTATTCTCTGGTTCTATAGACCAAACCTATGCCCATAATGAGGATTTAAGATTAAACAAAATAGTGACAGTTGATATATAAATATTTGAATTCCTTGAAAATGACTTTAAAACATTTCCTGGTTGTAATTTCTCTTTGAACTAGCATTTGATAATTTCTGGTGCTTTCACAGGGCACAGACAGATGAAAGCCCTCAGCAGCCCCAGCAACTCCAGCACCATCACTGGCTTCATCCTCCTGGGCTTCCCCTGCTCCAGGGAGGGGCAGATCCTCCTCTTTGTGCTCTTCTTCATTGTCTACCTCCTTACCCTCATGGGCAATGCTTCCATCATCTGTGCTGTGTGCTGTGATCAGAAACTCCACACTCCCATGTACCTCCTGCTGGCCAACTTCTCTTTCCTGGAGATCTGGTATGTCACCTCCACAGTCCCCAACATGTTGGCCAACTTCCTCTCTGACACCAAGGTCATCTCTTTCTCTGGATGCTTCCTGCAGTTCTATTTCTTCTTCTCCTTGGGGTCTACAGAATGCTTTTTTCTGGCAGTCATGGCATTTGATCGCTACCTTGCCATCTGCAGACCATTACATTATCCTGCTCTCATGACTGGGCGCCTCTGCAACACTCTTGTGATCAGTTGCTGGGTGCTTGGTTTCCTCTGGTTCCCTGTTCCCATCATCATCATCTCCCAGATGTCCTTCTGTGGGTCCAGAATTATAGACCACTTCCTGTGTGACCCAGGTCCTCTGTTGGCCCTCACCTGTGTGAGAGATTCTTTAATTGAGCTGACTAGCTCTACTTTAAGTTCTCTGCTTTTATTCGTTCCATTTTTCTTTATCACGGGGTCTTATGCCCTAGTAATGAGGGCTGTGCTGAGGGTCCCTTCAGCAGATGGACGAAGAAAGGCCTTCTCCACTTGTGGTTCACACTTGACTGTGGTTTCTCTTTTCTATGGCTCAGTGATGGTCATGTATGTGAGCCCAACATCTGAACATGCAGCTGGAGTGCAGAAACTTGTGACTCTATTTTATTCTGTGGTTACTCCACTCCTTAATCCTGTGATATACAGTCTGAGGAACAGAGATATGAAACATGCAATGAAGAAAATACTAAAAATGTAAAACTTGAACTCTTGTTTTAAAAGAGAAACTCATTATGCCTTATTTATTTAAGGAAAAGTAACCAGTCATGATGGTATGGACCTGTAATTCTAGAGCTTCAGAGGCTAAAACAGGAAGATTGTCAGTTTGAGGCCAGTCTAAGGTCTGAAACGTGAGCTTGTCTGACAAAAAAAAAACTGATTTCACTTGGGACTTTGTTCTTTTTTATCATTTCCTAGAATATGTAGGAGTATTAGGGACCACTAGATATTAATGATAGAACTGTCAAGTTGTAGAAGCTTGATTTGTTGGGAAAATAAAAATGTATCTAAAAGAAAATCTGCTGACACAGAAAATCTCTCCCCTGAGGCAGAAGAGAAATAAAATAATTTTGTTTCTGAATAAGCATTAAGCCATAATGTGTGTCACAAAGAATTCACTAAACAATTGTAAGCATTGAAAAAGTTCTGTACTTTTATATACTAAAAAAGCTACAATAAATTGCATACATTTTATCAATACAAAAATATATATTCCTCTAAGTGCTCTGACAGCAAAGTCTGTGAGCAGGGATCAACCTATATTTAGCTGGTAGATAGGACTACATCTGTATTTACTAATTGACTTTATACAAATGAAACATTAAGCCATCTGTGACAAGTTAAGAACCAGTATGTCCAGAAGCTGAGAGGTGAGAGCATGATGCTCTTTGATGGTTATATCTCAAAGACATACTCCCACCCCCTAGAGGGAGATTACAAGTTTTCTAACATATAAATGTTCTAAGAGACAAGAAATAAGAAAGTAGAAGAAGGATAACAGAAGAAAGTATCTTCTTCTTGTTGTTTTGAATAAAGACAATTAAGTGTGTTATTTTTTCTAGTATTTGCCTTTTCAAGTAACAGTAGATCAAAATCTTCAGACAAAACCTAAAGTTTTTCACTAACATTACTCCAAAAGTAAGTTACCTTTATGCCTTTAGTCGAACTTCTATTTCTGTATTCCAGAAAAATCAATCACAGTAACATTAAATAATAAACAAATGAGTAATATCTTTGAAATATGTAAATGTCCAGATCAGACAAATAAAATGTCAGTGCTAGAATATGAATTATTAAGTATAACAGAGAATATTTATAAATATAAAAAGATATCTTATTTTAATTTAAAAAATAAAAATAGAAATAATAAATTTACCACAGAGTTATAGTAACAAAACATAGTATGGCATTGGCATAAATATAGGCAAATAGATGAATGGTACAAAAAGGGATCCAGATTTGGAGCCTTTAACATACAGTGACTTGATTTTTTTTCAAAGAAGTCAGAAAATAAAGTCTCTTCAACAAAATAATTCTTGAAAAACTGGATTTTCATATAAGAGAATAAAATTTTATCCTATTTTGAAAATAGTATAAAAACCTAAAAATCAAGTCAGAATTAATGAAACATCTTAGTATACGACCTAACACTCTGAAACAGAAGAAAACATAAGGAAACACTTCACAGTACAGAAATAGAAAGGACTTTGTGGATAGGATGTCAAGAGCTCAGAGATAAAGTTAACCACTCATAAGACAGAGTGTATGAAAAAGACTTCCCAGCAAAGAAAGTAATTATATGCATGTTCATTATAGCACTATGCATTGTAGCCAAGTTATAAAATTAGCCTAGGTGTCCATTAACAGACTGCTCGGTCTAAAACTGTGATATACATATACAATGGAATCTTATTCAGTTGTAAGGAAGAATGAAATTATGTCATTGTCAGGAAAATGACGGAACTGGAGATCTTATTGTTAAGCAAAATAAGTCAGACTCACAAAAACAAAAGAGAAAGAGAGAGAGAGAGAGAGAGAGAGAGAGAGAGAGAGAGAGAGAGAATCATTTAGATGAATGGTGCAAGTGGGAAGGAAACAATCTAAAGGAAAAATGAAGGAGGAATAAGAGAATGTCATGAAGTATGAAATACAAAAGCTGGAAGGGACTACCAACATGGAGGAGAAGGGACAGTAATAGGGAATAGACAAAAACAAAGTTCAGTGATATTTATGTATTCAGGCATCACTAAAAATTAAACTTTTATTTAAAATTATCTTATTATGTTTTGTATCAGAATTTGATTTGTACTAGTCTTTCCACCTCTGCTTGTGTGAGTCCCCAACCTCCAGGATCTAGCCACGACCTGCTTTGTCTGCATTCAAACTACAGGCCCCTCACACACCATGTCTCAACATCTCTATCTAGTGAGATATGTGATAAAGTAGATATTAAGCCAGCATTAATAAGAAGAGATGAAATGTCACTATGCAATAAAAACAAGTGCAATACAATAAAGCTTGGCATGCAGAGTTTCATAATAGAACATTTCTAAGCTCATGCTATGATGTCTGATACCAAAACAAGATGGATAAAAACAGAAGAAATAAAGAAAATTGCAGGTGAATTTCCTTGCTGATCATAAACACACCCACCTCCAAACACTCACAGTCCTATAGGTCAAAGATTCTAGTAGAAAGATTCTACATCTAAGAAACACTGAATGCACAGTATCAAGGAACAAAAATGAATATTCAGAGATTAGTATCTTTTCTACATGCCAACAAATTTGATGAGAAAGAAAACAAAAAGTAATTGTTTCTTTCACAATATTCTCTCTCAAAAAATGCCAAAGAGGTGAGAGACCTCACTAATAAAAATTATAAAATAATGAAGAAAAAATTGAAGAGAACATTATATGAAGAAAAATGTCCCATCTTTGTGGATAGGCAAAACTAATATAATTTAAATGGTCATATCATAAAATGTAATCTACATGATCTATGAAATTTCCACCAAAATTATAATGATGCTTTTCAAATCAATATCAAATCTAATCCCAAAATTCATATGGCAATACAAAAAGTTGAGTTACCTAAGCAATAGTGAGTAAAAAGAACAATTCTGGAGGTACCACATTACTAAACTTAAAATTATACAGCAAAGCTACAATAACAAAAGTAATATGGAAATTGCAAAAAGTAAAGACACCATTGGAATAGACTAGAAGGCACAAAAATAAATGTTAGCAACTTTAGCTATCTGATTGTCAACACAACAGCCCAAAAATTATGCTGCAAAAGAACAAATGATGCCAAGTGAATTGGATATGTACATATAGACAAATGGAACTAAATTCTCATTTCTCATTATCTACTAAAAACTCAAAGTAGATTAGAGATCAGAAATTTTAAAACCACTGTAGAAAGAATGTGGAAAATATTTCAATGTATAGTCATGAGAACTAGCTTTGTAAAAGGAATCTGATAGCTCAAGAAAAATATCACGAATTCACAAATTGGATACATTGGATTAAAAAGTTTGCACTGGAACAAAAGCAATCAATAGAATGAGACATTCTCCAGAAGTGAAGAAAACCCTGTATAGGTATTTGTTTAACAAAAGCTTATTATCGAGAACATATAATAAAACTCAAAAAAAATGAAAATAAAGAACAAAATTTGGGTATAAATTCAATCAACAAATAATTGTATTTTGTTTTTTCCTATTAGGCTATCATCTCTTAGAAGCCTGCTCTTTCATGAAGAGGAGAGAAAGGAGGATGCATCTTTCTTTAAAATAAAAAAAAACATTTTATTTATTTATTTACATTTCAAATGTTGCCCCTCACCTCTCTATCCCCCTTCCCAGAGTTCTTCACCCCATTCTCCTCCTCTTTGTCCCTGAGAGGGTGATATGCCACCCACCACCACCCCAGCCCATCCCCTCAGCATTCTCCTTCCCTGGGGCATCAAGTCTCTACAGAATTAGGAACATCCTTTCACACTGAGGACAGACAAGGCAATTCTCTGCTACATATGTGCTGGGAGAGAGGGTGCACAAGCCAGCCCATATGTGCTCCTTGGTTGGTGACTTAGTCTCTGGGAGCTCCCAGGGGTCTGAGTTAGTTGATATGGTTAGTCTTCCTGTGGGGTTGCCTTCTCCTTTAGTTCCTTCAGTCCTCCCCGTAACTCTTCCATAGGTATCCCTGACCTCAGTCCAATGGTTGGCTATAAGTATCTTCATCTGTTTCAGTTGCTGGTACCCCCTCAGATGACAGCCATGCTAGGCTGCTGTCTACAAGCACAATGTAGCATCAGTAATAGTGTTAGAGTTTGTTGCCCACCCATGGGCTGGTCACTTGATGGCCTTTCCTTCAGTCTATGCTCCACTTTTGTCCCTGAATTTCCATTAGATAGGAAAAACTCTGGGTCAAAAATTTTGAAAATGGAAACCCCACAGGATCTTAGGTAAGGAGACAGCAACACCTTTCCCCAAACAGGGAGTAACTGGGACCCACAGAGATCCAGGCACTCAATCCTGGCCAGGGGCACTAGTTCCTTCCAGTATTAGCCTGAGCACTGAGCAGATCTTGAGAGTCAGCTCTGCACTGAATCCCACAAAACCCTGAGAGGGCTAGACTTCCAGGAGCTCTAACACGCTCAGGAAGATAGGATCATAGGATCACCAGATCTCAGGAGATGGGTCACACCAGGATTTCTGGATCCTAGAAGCAACCTGAGTCCCAGGTGCTCTTCCACCCAGGATCTCAGGATCACAGGATCACAGAGACAACTGGACTCTGAGGAGATCTGACATAAACAAGATAACAGGAAAGACAGACACCAGTCAAAGACAGTGAGTGCAGGTAGCACCAAAGGTAATTAGATGGTAAAAGGCAAGTGCAAGAACATAAGCATCAGCAACCAAGGGTGCATGGCATCATCAGAACCTAGTTCTCCCACCATAGCAAGTCCAGAACATCCCATCACACTGGAAAAACAAGATTCAGCCTTAAAATTACTTCTCATGATGATGATAGAGGACTTTAAGAAGGACATAAATAACACTCAATGAAATTGAGAACTCAGGTAAACAGGTAGAAGCCCTTAAAGAGGAAACACAAAAATCCCTTAAAGAAATATAAGAAAACACAACCAAACAGGTGAAGAAATTGAACAAAACCATCCAAGACATAAAAA